ATACCGGTGGAATACGGTTCTCCTCTAGACATCGCTGATAGAAAATAGCCAGCGATTCTGCTAGATCACTAGCTACTGCCTGTAGAGCCTTTGGTTGGATGTTGTCCGCGCCGGGAGAACTGTGGATACGCAAGCATAACAACTTCTTCAACACCGCTTCCACTGTGAAGGTGATGTTTTCTAAACCAGCTGGTGGAGTAGTAGGAATGAGGAGAGTGTTTGTGCTCGTTACCTCCTGGAAAGTTCGGGAGTAATGAAGCCGTAGGAGATCAACTGCTTCCATTGCTGATCGCGTGCACCCATCAGCCGTGACTAGTGCTGGAACCCCTTGCTTTATCTTTCGAAGGCCGTTAACGTGCCTGTAGAGGAGTTTGCGATTCGTGCAGAACAGCTTCATTAACTTCTGCTGATGAGTGACCTTGTCTTCGCGGATCAGTTTCACACAGAAGTTACGATGGGTCACGTATGCAGTCCAGGTTTCGGCATCCGGGCAGTCCTGGTGATCTCGCCATGCCAAATCCCTCTGGGACACATTTACGTGTCCTGCTCCTCAGAAATGAATTACGTTTGTTTTTAGGTTGGAAGGACTTCTGCTCTGATGCTTGCGCTACTAGTGTACTAAACCTCCTTGTAAATGTTTCCCAGGCAACATCTGGGGGGCATTCGGTTAAGAAAGTCCAAGATGTATCCTTAACAAGCTTATACAACACATTGTAGTGTGTGACATTATACACTTTATCCTCCTCCTTTCCAGGGTACTCCGCATAGCAAATATAGTCAAAGAGTAGAGTAACATGATCACTACGACCCAGTGGTGTGCTTGTAACTATCCCGCCAACCATGAGTTCTTCATTAATGAGCACAAGATCCAGTATCGACGGCTTCTTAGCAGTTCGAAATCTGGTGGGAGAGGTTACGTGGTTGTAAAGAGGGTGGCTAGCAATAAGCTCTTGCAAGCAGGTTTTAAACTGCATACCGTTGCTTGCTGGCGTTCCTATGTCATGCACGTTAAAGTCTCCCGCGATAAGAATGTGGGTGTAGGACTTGGTCAAGCAAACTGGAAAACGTGGTTCAGTTTGGAGTCCATTTCCAAAGTTAAGTTTGGTGGGCGATAAATCACGGCTAGTTGACATGTGTCTCTGTTTCGCAACCATAAGCGGCACCAAAGCGAATCGGGAGCTCGGATTTCCGGGTGTTCCATAACTTCACATCGGAGGTTTGTATTATAATAAAGAATCATACCGCCCCCCCTTCCGGTTCTATCGGTCCGAAGCAGTGACATACAGGGTAAATTGATTTCAGAATCGGTTATCTCAGGGTTTAACCATGTCTCTGTAATCATGACGAGGTCCCGCGGTTGTGAAGAATGGAGTTCTCTAAGTTCTGCCAACTTGCTTAGAAGGCCTTGGGCGTTTGTATACATGCAAGATAGGGCTTTTGTTGTTAGGAGTTCATTGATAGATGTCAAGTGTGTGTTCGCTTTTAAGCCGGCCGTTAGATGGCCGGCAATTAATCATTTTTTGGTTTATGTATTTCAGTCGTGTTGCATGGCGTTTTTAAGCGTTCCTGAACAGAAGTTTCACTGGTGCTGTGCTCGGTCCTCCTGTGTGCCGTGGGCGCTGTTGTGTCGGTCTCTCCGCAGGACTGTGCAGATAAGGAATTTGCTGCGTTTGCAAGTTCCGTTGAATTGCTTCCGACTTTTGGTCGTTCGCCTTCTGCTTTTAGCCGGATCTCTGTTGGCAGCCTAGCTCGAAATTTTAACCAGCTACCCAACAGAACTTGCGTCATTTCCTCGGAGTGTAGTATTACTTTAATTAGCCTTGGACCGCAGCCCTTGTAGTTAGGTGTTGACGGAACTCTTGTCAGGGATTTGGCGATAACATTGTCTACAGAGAGTGCTTCGCGGATGTAGCACCACTGCTCTCGGTCATGAGTTTGTGCACCGTGATCAGAAGAATGCAGAAGCTCAGGAACACCATGAACAAATTTTGTTTTCTTGCTATCTCTATTAGCAATGCCGCGTTGGTCAACTGCTTCTTTTGGGCGATCTTTCCAAGGTAGATCAGGCAATATGCGTACTCCGCTCGGTGAGTTGCGAAGACGAACTGCTGAGAGCAGGACAGCCTCTATCACATTTGCTGAGTTTAGTGTTACTCGAAGAATTCGAGGTTCACCAGAGTGCACTGAGGTCGGGTGACGCGTTACGCGTTGCAGCATTGCAGGCTCTACCCGAATGTTAATTGCCTCGCAGATGGAACTCCACTGGTTGCGATCGTCTTGCAAACTTGCCTTTTATTGTTCCAGATTTGGATTCGGGAAAATTGGTTCACACGAGAGTTAGCGCAGCGTGGTTTTGTCTAGTGAGTGTTGGCTTTATACTTTTTGCCGGCAATTCCCGTTGTTTAGAGGACACCATTGGAGTTGACGGTAAAAGCTGCTTTGCGCCACGCGTGCTCGGTACTGAAAACGGACCTATGTGTGTCCCTCCCGATGTGTTTGTCGAGGCAATCGATGCGTACGTTACCTGCTTGTTATCTGCACCGGATTGTCTTCGGCTTTGAGCTGTCGGTGTCATGGCTGAATCTCCAAGTGAAGCCTCTATGGTTGGAGAAGTGGAAGCAGGCATGTTTGAGACTTGCCCACTTATGGGAGTGAGGTTACCCAGTGGATTTAGAGTCACAGACGCTGCAGTGCGGTTGGAGCGTCTAGCTCTTTTCTTCGGTTTCGACTCAGAGCTTACTTTGGCCGGGTGAGATATTATCGTGGCCGTATTTACCTCCGGGGGAGGGATCTTAGTATTTACAAATTGCGCGATTATTTCAGTCAGCCTATGGCATTTTTTCATGAGCAAAGATAAGCAGTTGACCACTGGAATGACTTGACATGTTGGGCAAAACCAAATTGTGTCAGCAACTTGGTGTGTCTGTCTCACTTCTTGGACAGATTTGCCTACACATTGCGGACAGTATGATCTAATGCAGCTAGAACAGGTAATACTGATCTTAAGCGGATTACTGCAGTTGTCTGCGCAACATAGGCGACGTTGAACCATTGGAATGCTACTCCTCCTCTTATTGTTTACGGCAAAGCCTAGCTAAGCGCTCACCTTGGTAAGTGTACTTTGCGCTAAGGGTGACGCAGGAACAGGCCAGAACACGCACACGAATAGATAGTTGTTCAACCGAACCAAGGTCAGGCGGAGGCAGATGGAGGTCGTAACACGCAGACTGTCGGGTTCAGCGATCAATCGACTCGCAGTGCTACACACACACCCACACAAAGCGGCAGCGTGTGTTAATCGGCCTGCCTTAAGCGATGATGCAGGTGGAGCGCTGATAAGCGTCCCTAGAGCTGCTCAGTTGACGAGTGGAGCAAAAAGGCTGTAAGTTGGTTATGTTGCAACTTTCAGGCATGGTTGCCGCGCTAGGTTTTGTTGCCATTATAACTAACTTTGCACCTATGGTAGCCTCTGTGCAACTAATTGCTACGTGAGAAATCTCGGTTTCTTCCTGCCCTGCCAAGTCGACTCCTGTTTTATAAGTTACTTGTCTAACAGGGAAGGAATAGTTCGTCCGACAACACTGAACAGGATTGCGCCACCAGTTCTTCCCTATCAGCTATCCGTCCGCGCAATCTTATTCGGTAAATGTGCCGTTCGTTTAGCATTTCTGAGCTAGTTTGCGGCCAACTTGTTCTGACGGTGCGATGAAGCGAAATACGTTCCATCGATTAGGGTATTTGCTATTCTCTTCCATTTTGCGAGCTTGAAAACATTTTCTCACAGAACTGTTTAAGCCTTCATTGGTGTACTCTTCTCCCTACCGGCTACTCAAGCTCATCTCCTTTTGCGTTTTGGGACGATTTGCTTAGTCTTCCTATGTATCGCTTTGAATAACCCATTATAGGTAACCTAACCGATCGGATAACTTCAGCTTCTCTTTGTCGGCACAATTTTACCCTTTCCCAATGTTCGTTATGGCTAAGCGCAGAAGCCCTACCGTCACACGTGTGACAGGCTGGATGGTCTCAGCTTATCCGGCATGGAAACATATGTTCTCCCATATTTGGATTTTTCCAAAGGCATAAGACGTACAGTTTCTCAAATGGGATGCTCTCTGCCGCAACTAGGGCAATTCGTTAGTATCTTTTTGAGTGGAAAAGCAAACCCAACTCTAGGATTACACCAGCTCCAATTCAGCAACCCGTGTAACACCCACATTCATTCAACATGAACATTTATACGAGGTCGCATTATGCGAAGTAGCTGTGCATAATCATTGCACATGGTCCTCACTTCTGCGACGCGGATCAGATCGATTGAATAATCTGGCTAATGCGTAAAGGCAGGGTCATATTGTCGGAACAAAGTCGCAGCTTAACCATGATTTATCCGCATCACAGCTCGCTTCGTGCACTGCTTCACCAAAGCAGCACAGAGTCCCTCTCGCTGGCTGTCTCCTTAGCAGGTGCGAGAAATGCTTTCTCAAGCTTCCCGGCAATTATTTTAGCAATTTAATTTCACTGCTCAGTGCAAATCCATCACAATCGGTGATGTGACTACATTTCCTCTGGCACACGATTCCTTTGAATTTCTGTGAGTTATCTGTGTCTAACTCTCGCCATCTTGTGTGTACCTTTAGTGGCGTCGGACCTCGTAATGGCGTGTGCATTTTATGGCTGCTACTCAATCTGTAAATGCCACGAAGTGACCAAACACCTCAACACACTACGTTACTGCTAAGTTCTCTGTGTACTCCCAAAAATAGTAAAAACTTATTGCTAGGGTTCTCTTTCACACACTCTAAGAGGTAGAAATCATACTTTGGATTATTACCTACAACATCGTGAGAAGTGGAGAAGACAGTTTCTTTGACCTTCTTGGGAAAAGAACTTTGTGTGGAGAAGGTTCATTCCTTAGTAAAGCCGTTGTTTACCATAATGTTTAAACATCGGATGGTGATGAGAAGCTCAGGAGACTCGGTTTATGGATTGAAGCTTACCTGTACATGTCAGGGATTAAACCCTCATCGTAGCGTGCCAACAAATTGTTCAACAGCTTCTCGTGGGCACCAAATAGTTGAATGTAATTGCTCGCAGGAAAAGGCTGAAGCAAACGTTTTAAGATACAAATGGGCTACAATCATTCAGCGTCAAGAGGTTGTTCTGGCCATGTCAGGTCAGATTGTGCACAAAGCAAAGTATACCATTAAAAACTCGCGATATTCTTGGTCCATTGGATTATAAATAAGTAAATGAGCAAGAAAAGAAGTAAATAAATAAATAAACTTTTCTTCTGGACCATGTTCATCATGAGGAGCAAATAGCCCCAGCATACATGTGGATGCGCTCACATGAACCCAGCTATTCAGAACAGCCTGTTGTATGGGGACCTCACCATCAGTTACGCAGTAAATCGAACACTATGATCAGTCCATTATGATTCGCACGTTTCCGTCCGTAAGTATGTTCTCTTATCGGCTACGTGAATCCTGCTATAAGTGAAAGGCAAGCTTGGGAGTAGAGGAGCTTATTATGAAGTGGGGTATTGTGCACATATTCACTTGGGCGTCTTGCACATGTGTGATACCTCTTTAGTAGAAAGTGATGACTGCTTCGGAGTTCAAAAAGTCATCTGAGCAGGAAACTACTAGGAGTTGACTAGTTAAAGGTGCAGCGAGCGGCTGTGTAAAATTGAATGGTATCAGTCCTGTTGACGGTTCTGTGGACCCTTCTGTTTCCCAATAGGATGAACACGTGACAAGAATGGTTAGATTGTTATCTTGCAACCTCTAAGTGGGTGCGTGCCTTCCGTCCCCGGTTATGTGCATAGAGATTAACCGTATCATATTTCACTCATTAATGAAGTGTGCGTAAGTAGACCACTTACTGTTTTGGATAGGCAAGTGAGAGCCTGAACCGCGTTGTACTGGTTGATGTGCAAACAGAACAAACCGTGGTCTTCATTCGGGGTCCCTGTGGTGAGCATCCGGTCCTGTAGGAATCAGAGGTTTTGAAAATGTGAACGATGATTCGCATAATCTTCACACATTCTTGGTGAATTATGCAGTTTGGTAGTTAATGCATAACTGCAGCTTTCAGATTACATACTATGACTACTACAGTAAACCGATACCGCGTGCAGGTATACGAGGCGCCCTGTGACTGTTTTTGGCTAACTAGAGACTTGCACTTATTCTAGTGGATTTAAGCAATCCGTTAGGTTGGCTCGTTAGGAATCTGCATCAACTGAGTTGTAAGCGCTCAAGATTTTGTACTGATTCGTTTAGCGAGGTGCTTCGAATCTCGTTGTTCACCCAACCATGGTAATGTGCGTCACGAGAGCCATCAACATAGATGGCACGGTACCGGGGTTATTTCATCGATCAGTACCGCAACATTAAGTTAATCGATAAAGTCATTGCTAACTACAGGACTGAAAAAGACGAGTAGGGTGCCAGTGTTGGGATGAGCAACACTAGCATGTTTCTATTTTACTTACGGTCTTTTTGATCGGAATGACCGAAGTCCACCTCAAGTGAACCGAGGCCTCAAAAGAGGTTGCTTGTAGCAACCCAACCACCAGCGGATTCTCCAAGCCCAACTTTGCATTCGTTTCCGCTGGACCAAGCGTTGCTCGTGGATCTCAGTGGCATAGTGCTTATGGTGTCAACCATGAGCCACTAGGCTCCGAGTTCCAGCCCAACTCAGGCTATCTCGAACTGATGAGTCCCAACCAGGACGAAACCGCGGTCTTCGGGTGCCAATGTTGGGATGAGCAACATTAGAATGTTTCTACGACTAGGAGTACATCAGTTTAAACGTTTTTAGTGAGACCTAACGTTACCAATGGGTTAGTTGACGCGCGGAGATCAATTTTTCTTTCTCTGAACTCCGGCCAATGAATGCAAGCAACCCACTCGGTTATCCAGTAGTTTGTCAGTCATGTTATGATGCTAATGACGGAGTTCAGCTCTTGCCACTGTGGCCGCGCTCAACTTCTATCCAAACTCAAACTATCGTGATGTCTGTTCAAAACTGTTATCCTTCCAGTCAGTAATCAAAACAAACAAGTGGTCGGAATATCTGCATACTGCCTCTCATCAGAGTCCCTATTGATAAACCAGAGCATACTATGGGATGTATCCGCTGCGAAGACACAAGAGCAGCGGTACATTTGAATGAGTCTTAATTAAGCGTATCTCTACCCGAAACCTGGTGCTCAACACTAGACCGCACTGTTGCATAATCAGATGGCCCCATGAGCACGCCAACCTGACTATTTCGTCGCTGCACGTAACTTCACTACCCGCACGTTGTTGTTTTTGTGGAGTGCGAACTGCCACACCAAGTTGCGGTTGGCGCAAACATTTGTTCCTCTCGTTGTTGTAGTGCATTACCACTACAACAGATCGGCTCCTGTTCACTGAGACACTTGATAATGTATAGGGGATTGTGGATGTAAATAAGTATGCGTTATTTTCACAGCAGTTCCCAAATTAGATATCCGTTCACATGTCCGGAAAAGAACTAGACGATTGTCTCGTTCGCTCCGAGGGTGTTAAGAGGTTAAGAACTGGACGTATATCTTTTTATGACAGTTGTTGCCTGTATTCATTTCGTTACTGTTTGGTTTTTGACATTCATTTAAACGCTCCCCCTGTGTTAGACCGATTGGTACACACACGTCATTGTTAATGAACGCTCATCTTCCTGTTATCTTCAGCGGTGCCATGTGCAATAACACATTCCATTGGTTTTTCTCCACATCACATTTCTATTTGGTTATTGTTAGACGGGCTTGTGCTTCATAGTCGCCCACAGCTAGATAGTTTGACACTCGTGACTGTCTCGTCACTGGACACACGCACGACAGTTGTTCAGACCTAGATCGCTCACTATTCATGACTATGTCCTTCCATGTGGTTGGTCTATTGATCTATTGATCTTTTGCATCCGGTTGCCCAGCCTTGTCAGCTTTTTCAATACAACTCGTCCCGCACGGTGGTGCTTTTGCTTCCCGTTCGGAATGGCTCAGTTACGGTGAGATTTTATGATAGTTATGTTAAAGGATTCTTTAGTTGGCACGCAATTATTGTCCCAGATTTTAAATCCTTGGTCTGCACTTTTCATTCTCGTTGTTTCGTGACATTTGTTCAAACGCTACGTTTCGTCAATCTGATTGTCCAGTGCCACTCACTAGAAATGGATGTTCGCTTTACGCTTGGGGTCCCACGATGCTATTTTTAAGGATATATGCGATTCGCTTTTGATTACACGGTTGCTTATTTGGCCGTTGCATTCGACGTTTTCCTTTTGTTGGTTGGCTCTAGTGTAATTTAGTAGCCCTTTTTGCTCACAAAACTATATAAGTAAATGTGATTCCATGTATACAAGTCTCTTTGCGGCTCGTCTTTTTCTTCTTGCGGTCGTGGGGTGAAGATGTAGTGGCGACACAACAGGGAGCTGCTTTGAAAAAACCTAATTATTTCCATCAGAACCCCCTACTCATAAGGATAACAAAATATCTGTCCCTCCACCCGGTACTAATAGTAAGGGCACATTTCGAGAATCCATGTATTTGGCCAACTTTTGCTGCCGACCTGAAGTTGGACAACCGTCTTGCGTCAGCTCATGACGCCGAATGCGAACGCTGCTCTGGCTATGACGGCGTGTTCAATACATTGATCGATAGCGGTTGATCGATGATCATTGTTTTTGGGTTAGTTACGATTGGTCCAACCCTAACAGGTACAGTCCTAGTGATCAGAATGATCAAGGTTCACCTCAAAGTGAATCGAGGTCTCAAGAGACATGACGTGTCCCAATCCAACCACACGGCGAACACTCGAAATCCAAATTTGGATTCCTAACTGTTATGCTAAGTGTTGCTCACGGACATCAATGGTCTTGGGATCGAGGCATCAGCCGTTACCCATGGTTATGTCCCAGTGAAATCAGCAACAAGTGCGGAGCAATGGAAGTATGTCGTAAGACCAATTAGTCATGCATGTGTGCAAGCGTTAGGTGGGTGAGCAGGCAGCAGTGTGCTTTGAGTCCCAGGTCGGTGCCTTGATTAGACAGCAATGGCTAATGAGCGCAGTGTATGTAAGGAACGAAGCAGACACATGTATTGATGCACACACGCGCGCAAGCGTGCACTGCGCGATCCCTCAAGGCAAAGCATGGGCGTCGCCCTGTGGTTCCAACTATCCAGCCGGAAAGCGGTCGACTGGTCAGCGATCGCGGATCGACCTACTCAGCTAGGTTTCAGCCTCCGGCAAGCAGGTGGGCGGTTGGATCCGAGACTGAATCGGAATTTGATCGCCTTGAAAGTACGTGATCCAGCTGACGTCTCACTTATCTGCCGCTCTCAGTCGTCGCCTCTATAAGCCGTTCAGTAGCCGTCTCCACAACAGCTGACTGTCATCCAGGTTCTGTAGGCTAATGTATGTAGATTGGACCTGACCCTATTATGAACATCAACGTTATTTCTCTCGTTCTTGATTCTCGAGGACTTTAGACACCAGACTACCGTGCAGTAAATCAAGCACTATACCATTTCCCTGCCAAGTTGTCCTCTTGGGCAACAGAAATAATCTGAGGGGGCATTCAACATGAGTCTACTCAATTAATTTGTTCCGTGCGTAAGCCAGTCACTTGTGCAGGTGTGTAGGTGTGCGTGTATAGCCCGTCGCCTTCAGCCAATTGGACCTCAGACGCACTAAGTCATAGAGGTGCAGGTGGGACGCTTCAGCTCCTACGCAGGGAACAAATTAATTGAGTAGACTCATGTTGAATGCCCCCTCAGATTATTTCTGTTGCCCAAGAGGACAACTTGACCGGGAAATGGTGTAGTCAGGTAAAAACACGTCTAGGAGCACATTTCTGATCAAACCAATGCGCCTGAAGGAAACCCGACGCGTTCTCTCTAAACTCAAACCATCCAACCGGCATGATCGCAAGCGTCCATACGCTCAGCGTCACGTTTGTCATTCTGCTATTTGGTGTGGCCGTATGTGAGTGCAGACTGGACCACAAAATGTACCGTCTAAGGATGAGACGCAGACAACCACAAGATGCAAATCACACGAGAAGCTTACTCGGATATGAGTGCGAACAAACAGGCAACTACCAACCGCAGCGGTCGATAGTATTGGATCTCCTGCCGTTTCCTTGTCGTGCTATCGTTCAGCTGCTTACCGATGGTTACGATGGTCCCGTACTGAGCCATTCTGGCAGGTAGCATTGCACAGCGCGTGAGCTGTGGCGAAATTAGCAACAAATGCATGCGCAGTTGGCCTATTGCGCACACCATGGTATAGACGACAAGAAAGCGCACGCGCTAACCGGAATTATCAATGCCTACTCTGCGGTTGGCTAACCCAGCTATTCTCAACGGGAGCCATATGAACCCCAGGTGACCATCGCGAATTCCAAGGGGCCCTTGGATGAAAAACGTTTTTAGGGGCCATGGGGGTCACAGAGGGTCATGTTGTGAAAAGTGGGTTGTGATAACTCAAGTAACAAAATTCATTTACCAAATTTGCTGATGGCTTCTCTCCAAGCACTAAGCTTCCCTTGTCACTACCGGTCAGTAAAATAGATTACGTGTACGCAAGTTCCTGTTTACTAAGGGGTGAATCCAGACCGGACAAACTGTTGGTTGCGAAGCTGGTGGAGCCCCGCCAAACTTGCGCCGATTTTGCCGCGCTCACCTCAAATATACATACAAATCAGCTTACTAGTCATAAATGTCTACAAAGTTTATGTTCAAAGTGCCCTGCGGCGTTTTGCATACACAGCAGCATTGGTCTGATGGTGTCGGCTAGCACTTTTCCTAAACTCTCTACTGTGATCTCGGGTCATCTGTTCACAATGCTCTGTTTCAGTTCCTCAAGAGAATTGGGCTTAGTTTTATAAAATCGTCGTTTCAAGTAAACATGAAGAAATCCAACGGATTCAAATCTGGTGACCGAGCGCTGTATCGGCGTG